TTTTTTTTTTTTTTTTTTTTTTAATTTTAAATATGTGGGGTAGAATTGAGGGGGTTAGGTATACAAATGTTCATTATGCAGGTACCCTTGTTGATGAGGTGTCCCCTGCCCCCAGCAGTTTCCCACTATTGCCAATGTTCAAACAGTTCTTTTTTTTTTTTGAGTTGGAGTCTCACTCTTGTCACCCAGACTGGAGTGCTGTGGCATGCTTCAGGCCACCACAGCCTCAACCTGCTGGATTCCGGCGATCCTTCCGCCTCAGCCTTCCAAGTAGCTAGAACTACAGGCACGTGCTACCACGCCTGGCTAATTTTTTGATTTGTTGTAGAGATAAGGTCTCCCCAAATTGCCTAGGCAGGTCTCAAACCCGTGGTCTCAGGCAGTTCACTCACCTCGGCTTCCCAAAGCCCAGGATTACAGGCTGAGCCACCGAGCCCAGCCTACACAGTTCTTAAGTATTAAAACAATTCCTGTTGAATTCTGGGTTTCTTGGCTGTGTCTCTTTGGTCACAATTTCCGAAGTTGTTATTCTGACAGCTAAGTGATTTACTTCCAAAGTTTCACTCCAATAATGTTATAAAAGATTTAATTTATACCAGTTAGTCTTTAATTAAGGGAAATTTTATGACATTTCTGTAGCAATTGGATAAAACCAATGAACATTGGAAATGACTCACATAAAATACTAATCTTGGTATTTATTTCAAAATATATATAAATATATAAATGATTATTTACCATCATTTTTATTTTTTAAATGTTAAAATATTTAACTGACAAAAAAGTATTAAAATGTACAACTTGATGGTTTGATATACATGTACATTGTATACTAATTACCACAGTCAAATTAAGACACTTCAGGGAGAAATTCCTTCTTGTTTTTGTTGACTTCACATTTAATGCACTTTAGTCAGTTTACTTACTGTCATTAAATGCCTTAATACAGAATGTCTTACTTCAGTAAGATACTTTAAAATATTCTACACAGAGCATTGGTCTGCATTGATTTAAATTAAAACCTGCCTAAAGACTTACAGTTCTAAGTTCCAGAATTTTCTACTTAATCCTTTTTTGCCTTATTAACAATTGCCTTCTATTTAAGTTTTCCATTCAAACTTTTCAAAAAGATGAGCTTGCTTCACAATTCTAGAGAAGCCGTGATAGGTGAATGTTGCCATCAAAACATACAGTTGCAAGATGGAGATTCATTGGTTCAAGATATTAGTGCCACATAAGTGTTAAAATTAGGAACCCAAGAATTGTTCTCATTAATTTATTAAGAGTGGTACATTTTGTGAGTTTCCTGGTAGTCCAAACAATTTGGTAATCAACCCAGGCTAGTTTTGCTGTGGGTGAGCCCCAGTGACGGTATAAATTAGAATGTGCTTCATATTTACACATTCTGGAACCTTATGAGTCATCTCTGCATTAAAAGTTTGCACCTCATAAATGTATGTTTAAAGTGCCATGTTTGACACACCCACACAGACTCCTAAGCGAGCAAGGCCATTTGCTTATAACTGTCACACCCGATACTGGTAGGTCACTCAGGCTCCGGTACGTAGGAAGATATTTAGGTATTGCACATGTGGGTGGAATCTTACGGGTAACTGGCTCAGCAGAGGCATTTTTAAAAAATTTTCTGAGACTACCTGCCATCTTCAGTTGTGAGCTGTTAAACCAAACATCTGTGGTCTAGCACCAAACCCTGCAAGTATCCTTCCCAGAAGACAAAGCGATTTCTTTGGTAACATGTTCTCACACTGTAGGCTCTCCAGGGTCTCATCATTTTAGTTATATGTCCCCCCACAAAGTACACTTTCCACCTTCAGGCCCCTGACAATATAATGTCAGGATGTTTTCCATCAACAATTAAGATGGTCATTCTTTTCCTTTCTGAATTCACCAATGTTTATCATCAGAAATGCCTGTATATTGATTGTGTAACTTTTTTTTGTATATGGTGGCTCTCAAATTGGACATCTTTCTGGTTTATATTGATGAGAAGACAGTAAGACAACTTGCATGAGGAAACAGGGACATAACTGATGTAACCAGGTACTTAACTCCAATTCTTAGGGCAATAAAAGGCAATTTCCACTTAAAAAAAAATTCACATTGAAGGTGAAATAGATGGAAGGTTACTAGAGAACAATTTTAACATATTGTAATATTTGAAAGTGAGAAGAGGATCCCATTTCTCAAGACTTTAAGCATGGATATATAGTTGGCTTACAGAAAAAGTAAGTCACCTTTTTCTGTAGTTCCTTAGTAAGAAGACAGGATCAAGTTCCGCCTTATAAAGCAAATGATCTGAAACTCAGGCACATATTCTTAATCTAGTCAGAATTATACTAGTGCCATACAATAAATCCACTATTTCCCAGCATTGGGCCAACTGCTTGGCATTTAATGCTCTGCAACTCCAGGAGGGAATTTTGCCGATGAGAAAGCGGATATCTCAGGAGATTAGGTAATAG